TTCCACGTTGGATAAGTCATCTCTTTTGTATTATTATGCAAACGAGTGTTACTTTGTAAGCCAAGTCACTAGGAACAACTTTAAACTTTCACATCTACAGATCAAAAACTGATCTTAAGATTAGGAACTAAAGACTGAAATAGATTGTTAGGTCATAGGCTGAACTGCAAAAGAATGCCTCTTCCAAGCATCACTTTTAGAAGATGTAAGGGATGACCACTATAAAAAAAAAAAATTAAAACCCCACAACTAGAGCTACAGCCCAAAGTTACATGACACCTGAATAACCACAGCTGATGGGAAACAATGGCAGTATGAAGATTCACAGTAAGCTGACTGCAGGTGTCCTACAGCTTCTCCTCCTTAGTTCCTGCCTCTTACTTCATCTGAAGGAGAATACTGCTTCAGGCTAAGTAAAATAAAACAACAGCTGCAGAACTAAATGGCTATTCTTTCTGCAAATGAGCAGCTGTGGTAGAAAATTGGCCCTCCAGCAGTCTAGAGGAGTATGATAGTTCTCGTACTCTACTGAAAGGCACAAACAAATATGCCAAAGGAATTCTAGTAAAAAGTTAGGAAAAGTTGGCTAAGGAAGAAATGATACAGGAATCATGGAAGAACTCAGAGAGAAAAATGAATACGTCAAAAGAAAGTTGTAATAATGCAATTAGCTGTATTTGAAATAATTACAGTTACGCAGAACAGTTCTAAGCAAAAACAACAATGGACTGCCTCCAGAAATTTAAGTCAACTATAAAATGGGAAGCAAAGCCATGAGAAACTTCAGGTAATCCTGCCAAAACCAGAAAGAAAATATGAATTTGTTGAAGTACTACAATATCATAAAAAGAATGAGGATAATCTATTTCTACTGGAGAACGCAGTAGTATCCACAGACACCAGGAGTTAACTCACCACATCACTGAAATAACCCCGTTACACTTCAGTATGTAAAGGCAGGTAAGCACTTAAAACACTGTTTTGTCCCAGCTTTACTACAAATCTCTTGTGAGACACAGGCAAAAGCAATGATCCTTGTCCCTCAGTTCTGCAAGACACCCTCTGCGTACCATCTCATTTGGAAATGGAAGCTGTCTCCAGCACAGACATAAAGCCAGTCTTTAGCTGGACTTTTATTTGTACTAGTAGTAGCTTCTACACAAAACCAAAACAGCTGACACTAGGGACTTGGGAAATAAATTCCCAACAAGCTCAATTAAGTTTACTTTCACTTACATAGTTTCTCACAAACATCTACACAACACAGGGCAGGGTGCTGGTTTACCATCTTCCTTAAAAATACAGATTTTTCTTCACAATAAGAAGTCAAGGAAGTTACACTTTGGCATAACTATAGAGAGATTTCCTGTTAAGAATGGATAATTACAGCATTGCAACTTCCTTCCAAGCCATCCATCCACATTCTCCTTTAAAGAGCGCTACTCCATTAGCTAAAAGCAGATAGGGTTACTGTGCCATACTCATTCAAGTACCCAACCCTAAAAGTTTCACATCAAAGGTGTTTTAACTACGCTCCACAACATGCACACGTACACATTCTTATGCTGCTGAGGTATCACTGCTACAGCAATTTCACTGAACTGACCTAGTGAAACCTCCTGCTTGGCATTAACTATGTATCTTCTGGTTTTCCTAACGTGAAATATCCACCACATATACCTATGGAAGCACCACCCCCCCAACAGAATCATGTAAAAAAAGTGAAATCTGGCAACAAGTTTTCCAGCACCATTTACATTCAAACAACCTAAAGCACTTTTCTTAGCATCACCATACAGCACTGAACACAGCAACCAAAAGCTAAACGCAAAAGAAAGGGATACATAAATCACAGTGTACAAGTTAAACCCACAAACCAGCTTTGAGCTATCAATGCTCAGAGGTGTGAAAACTAGGACAAAGTCCTAGTGAAACTAGGTTTTCTGTAAAAGAAATTTCATGAACTATGCTTTGAGGGCTTCAAGACTATTAAACCTGTCTGATTACTGTAAAACAAGTAATCCATCATTACAAAAGCAGCACCGAAATTACAAAACAGAGAATCCTCATCCCAGCTATAAGACTGGACCTTCAAAACAGGAGAAAAAAAATCCAAACATATCCTGAGTGCAAATGTATGACCGTAACATGATTGTTGCTACCTATCATAAGCCATGTCCACTTGTAAATTAGAGTTCTTTCTCCTTCAAACCAAACAAGCAGCTAAGCTTTGTAACAGGAGAGAAAGAACATTCTTTGGGGTAGATTGTATTTTTATCATCATGGTCTAAGAATGCCTTTTTACATTCTTTGATTATTAAGGTAACAGTTACTGAGGGAAATACAGAGGGAATATACAAACCTAGGATGGGGAGTTTTGGAACTCCATAGAGAGTCAAGAGCAAGGTAAATAAGGATAGGAATAATCATGGGCACGAGTACCTATGTTGGATTTCCCCCCATTTGTACGAGTTAACGTGAGGCTGAGCTACTTAAATGTGTTCATGATGGCTCAAGCTTAATAAAGAAAGAATTTCAGAAACAGGACAGTCAGAGATATTGAGATCTGTACAAGCAATACAAATACCACATTAACAAGAATGTATGTCATGGGCACAGAAAATGCTACAAAACTAAGACATAATTCCAGGACAGCATTAGAAAACTCAGCTTATCAACTCGCCCAGGACACAACCTTTAACAAAGTATGGTGATAATGACAGTTAAAACTTAAACACTAATTAAAAAAATATTTAAGAAACATGCCACCTATGAAGACTGGTATATTAATTGTCATTCACAGTGAGATGTCAGTTCATAGGACTTACCTAGTAGTTAAACTGTTTGTTGTAAAAGGAAGACAAGTGCAAATAATTCAGAGCTGGGGCTTGAGTCACAGCTTGTGCAAAAAGCATTCATTTTTAAACATACAACCATAAACGGTATGAACAAAGAAAATTTTCAAAATACAAAACTGTGTGTCATTTCCTGATACCAGGAACAGAGACTCCTAACAAACAAACGTATTAGGGGCTGCATACAAAAAACTTATCTACCCATGATCTATTTTAACCACTAAAAAAAAAGTGACTAGTAGTAAAACTAACAAAAAACCCAAGTTTCCTTTGCTCTGACAAAAGAATTCTCCGAGAAAGAGGCAGGAACTGGGACTTTTTGACAGTCTAGAGTAGACAAGGGAAATACAGAAATGGTCTTCTCATCCAGCAACTACCAGATAGCTTTCTAAGGAAGTTCAAGCACCCTTCTACAGCAGCATCCTATAGGTCTCAATTAGGATGTCCCCTAGCAACCATGTTCAGAACATCACCCTTTTATACACACACCGGTCTGAAGAGCAGTTGTCTGGTCAGTTTGATGTTCTTTTTCATAAAGCTTATACTGTGAAATAATTCAGCTGCTAAATGACCTATTACTGAAACTGTAACTTTTAGCACTATTCCAGGCTAAATCTGAGAAAGTTTTTTTTTTTTTTCCAGAAAGCCTCCCTTCTGTTGTGTGAAATCCAGTAACACCACGACTTCATACATAAGCCATATGACAAGATGTTTTCTTCTACTTGAGACTAAGTTACTTAAAGCCCAAAGATTTCCTCAGCCTTCTGACACCCTGGGCTGACCAAAAATAACAAAGCCACTCAGTTACTACTGTCTTCAGGCAAGAGATGAAATGAAAGAGGGAATACCAGAAAGAAACTGAGGCAGCTGTTCTGGGGCTACCCTAAAAAATTGATCACATCCCTCTCAGGTACTCACAGACCAAGAATTTCTTAAAGGTTTAAGTCAGACATTTTTGGTGGAAAGAAGAAATAACTACAGTACAATTAATCCTAGTACTATCATCTGGTCTTCTTATTTGGATATAGAGCGACTCGGAAGGCACAAATCCAAGACACATGAAGGCCCAACCTTCTCCTCACGGACATGGGTGGGAGGAAAGGAGAAAGCATGCATAGAGAAGGCATATCCACACATTTCTCTCCAGTATCTTTCGCTACATATTGGGGGAAGTTGAAGGCATGGGGGGAGAGAAGGGTCCTTAAAAGGCCTAGAATAAACAGATGTGAGATAATCAGGTATTCAAGCCAAGAACATCCTCAGTTCTGTGACCTTACCGCTTAGTGGGAGACACACTAAAATGAACTTCAATGCTCATTATTCTCTTTGTAATCACCTGGATAGAACAGAGTTGATAGAAAACCTTTTAAACCTTTCCACCTTGGATCTATTTTTAATAGAAGCTGAAAAATGGCCAGTCCCTGTACAGGATGTTAAGCTCAGGTACTGAAGTTCTAAAGAAGTCCTCTTAGGCCCATCTTCCCAAATGAAGGAGACAGACTAGAAAGGATAAGACTAAGAACACCCTTACTGAGAGAGATCAGCCCCTCAAGCACTCATTTCACATATACTTCTACATGGAAGAGTTACAAGAATGATAGAGAAGCAATTTATTTTTTTCCTAGTAGACTATCTGGGAAAGAATGAAGATAACTGAACAGCTATTCCTTCTTGAAACTCCTGCACCACCTCTACAGAATGGGGGAGTGCTGCCCTCGCAAAACACAAAAGAGATCAATTTGTAAGGAAATTACAGCCCATTCCTCTGCTTGGCCTCCACGGTTCTTTCTCTCTAAGGAAGGGGTATGGGGCAAGTCCTGTCCTTCAGAGACTCACATTGTCCAGGGCCCTGTTCGTAGGGAAGAGCTAATAAGGCCCCTTTTGGAGAGCAGATACGCTGAACAGCCTCTCCCAAGCTCTCCGTCGCCACGTCCCCGATCCTACCCCCCCCTCCCCCTTGAGAATGTCCTACGCTGAAACACACAGAGCTCCTCCGCCTGACGAGGCTTCACGTCCCCGCGAGGCCGGCGGGAAAGGAGGCAGCCCCACAGCGGGTACTCCGCTCCACAGGACCGCGGGACAGGGGGGAGCCCGGCGGGACGCGCGGGGAAAGCCCTTCGGCCGCCATCCCTGCCCGGTACTCACAGTCCAGGTGCTTCTTCTTGGGCCCCATGACCTCGTGGGTCGTGGCCTTGCAGACGGTTTTCGAGACCGCCGAGCCGGTCACACTGTGCTGCGCCGCACTGGCGCGGGCGGTGTGGCGCTA